TAACTTATACAAAATATTCTGCACAGTTGTCTCTAATCTGGCTTTCTCAATCCATCAGAACCTTATGTGATTGGGTAGTCTTCTGTTTAAATTTCGTTAACCCATTTGTAAGTAAGTACATGGGATCTGATGCTTGTGCAAAGACAGGGCCGAGCTGTTTGGCATAGGGGTGGCTATACGGTCTGGTCCGGTTAAATTGGCGCAAATTGATCCGGTCCAGTCCGGTCTTTTTGAAGATATAAGGACCGAAGATTGGATTGGATACAGTCCGGTCTTGATCCGGTCCGGTTTTGATCCGGTCCGGTCCCAATTCGGTCTTGATTTTACATTGAGATTGTGGGATTTGAGTGGCCTAAGGCCTTAAAGGGTGAGGAGTTGGTTAAGTTTTGTACTAAGTGCAAAGGTTTGTGACCGTTTATGCAAATTACCCTTAAGTTTTGGGTGTTGAGCTCTCTTATCCGGTCTTTATCCGGTTTTTTACCTCAAATCTAAGCCCAAAGATTGGATTGGATTGTTTACTATCCGGTCCCGGTCCGGTCTCGGTCCAGGTTATACGGTCCGGTTTCCGGTTTTTAATCCGGTCCCGGTCCAAATAGCCACCCCTACTTTGGCAATACTGCTACGAGGCTGCAGTTCACTTTATAGTCCAAGTTGTCATTCAAATTAGGGGTGTGCGTCCTATACCGGATCGTACCGAACTAAAACGCTGTTTGAACTAGACCTGACTGAACCGAGTATAATGCGATCTGATGTTTGGTCATGTAAATTTTATAATTACTGAAGAAAACAGAGATCCAATTGATATTTGGACCAGACCAAATGGACCAAATGTAATGATGGTCTGATCCTTGATCCTAAAATATTTTTCACAAATAAATCGCGTTCTTATGAGATTGGTCCGATCCGAACATGATCGAATCGTTGCACACCTCTAATTCAAATGATCAGCAGATTTGGATTGATTGCTAGTTCGCCACCCTTATTCCTTCTTTTCCCAGTCACAGGATGATTGTGACTCTATCACGAGAAATTAATGACAAAATACAAATGAATTATACAGAGAACAAGACCAATGAGGGAAAACAATCTTATACTTTCTAACACTGTTTGCTTCTGGACTTGGTGGACTCAAATAATTGGATTTGTATTCGGCCCAAACAAAATGAAATTTGATGGACTAGTCACTAGGGGCTCAGCCCAACGATGGTCAACCTGAGAAAGCCCAGGCGGTTAGCTCCTTCTAGAGTTGGTCAAGCAAGCCCAGACAAATGATGTTTTCGGATAATGGTTTTCCTTGTTTGGAAAGAGTCTTCTTATCCGCCACTTATTTACTGAATTGCTATTTGTCGCCCTAAATTTTAAATTTTATCGCCCTAAAATGCATTAAATTGACATATTTACCCTCAATAAAATTTATATCCTAATATCCTAAGCCAAGCAATTGCCGAAAAGCCAATTTGCTTTATTCTCCGAGGATCGGGGCCATGGAAGTAGTTGGCGGCGGTATCCTTTGGGTTGAACAACAAAGCAGTTCAGCTCTTTTCCTTTCTCAGGACAATGCCGCTCAAATCCCTCACCACCTTCACTCTCGATCTCAGTTTCATTCCCCCAATTCTCCAAAACATCCGGATCCACCTAACCAACTTCAAAATCATCGCTCATCTTCCCATCCCCATCAATAATCCCAACCGGCCGATCCAATTCCGCCACCGGAGGCGGAGGAAGCTGCTCACCAGCCGCTAATGAATCACTCGCCGGCGACGTGGAAGCCGGAGGCACGGCCACCTGAGTAGGTTAAGGCTTGGGTACGACATCGGTTTGGGTAATCAAAGCAGTGACATTAAACGATTTTCCGTAGTTGGAGATAACCATGTCGCGCAGAGCTTACTGTGGTTGATTGATAGTCGCTTTTACCATTGCAGAATGCAGACCGCAAGTCAAACATGAATCGTTTTAGGTCAAAATAAGATTGGGTTAATTACTTAATCATGATTTACAATAATTAGTTTGTTTTTTATTTATTTCCAGTAATAAGTTTGTTTGGATTTAAGTGTTTATTTAAATTACAAATAAAATAATTAAGGACATTAAAGTAAAATTAACTTAATTAGGGCGACGAATAAGGATTTTTAGGGCGACGAATAGCAATCCCCATCAATTTTTCCTATAAAGAAAATTTTATCATAAATGAAAATTACAACACTTTTGTCACACAAGTAATCGAGATTCGTGATATAGCAAAACCTTGTACAATATTTAGTTATAGCCTTATAGGAAATATAAGGATTGTTATGGAAGAAGTACCATATCATATGATAATGCAAGGAAGAGATCTTTGTATATTAGTGTCCATGCAACCATATTAGTACGAGGCCTTTTGGGAAGGATTTCCAAGAGTAAAAATCGTGCGGGCTTGGCCCAAAGCGGATAATATCGTAATAATTGAGCTACCCGGTTTCAGCAAAGAGATCCACGTTTGTTTGGCGGATCAAAAAGAGTTATGCGTCTGGAAGGATTGTTACGAGACAATCCAAGTACCACATCAGTAATACAAGGGAAGAGACTCTTGTATATTAGTGTCCACCTAGCACAATTAGTACGAGGCCTGTTGGGAAGGAACCCAAGAGTAAATATGTACGGGGTTGGTCCAAAGTGGACAATATCGTACTAATGGAGTTGTCCAGTTTCGACAAGAATATGCCTAATAATAAATTTTACTTCGCTCTACCAGAAACCATAGCTCTGATAGTTTTAGAGCAGTGATCGATTCAGCTGAGATCTACGTCTCTGAGGGAGACGACCCTAACTAGGGGTCGACTCCCCCACTGTAAGGATGTCTGAGTTGAATAAGGAATTCACAACCAATTCGCCACTACCAAGCAAGGATATACAACTAGATCAATAAACAACTACAAGAGCGACCTTGATCGACTGACCCGCCGTCGAAGTAGAAGCCTAAGGTTAGGCTCGTGAATGTCCCAGTCATGGAGCACACGTCGCTTAACATGGTGGTAGCCCTTCCCTCAAATCCCCAGGCAATGGAAACACCTAACTCGCCCAGGGAAAATACCCGTTCAAAGAAAAAATATATACCCAACATCTGATTCCATTGCATCCTCCCTTAATAAACTGTAGCATCAGAACTCCGATGTCGCATGCCAACACAACAATCTGGCCTTTTAGTACAAGTTAATACATTCTATTAGAAGTTGTTTCTAACTTTATATATGGGTATACATAAGCGACACTTTTTTTATTTTTGTGCGGAAAAAATGTTGCTTATGGTTTTAGGTAACACTACATATAGGTGACACTACTAAAATATTACATGTATATCCTGACTTAGAAACTGTATTATCCTGACTTAGGTAACACCACCACATGTTAATCAAGTAGATGAATATTAGAAGTTAGTTTTGAATCCAAGATTAAAATACACCAAGTTATTAGCCAGCTATATCAAATACCCATATTGCTCATTTAACCCGCCATGTTGACAAATAAATTGAACCGAAAATCAGCCCCATCAATTAAGTAATTTGAGTTTCGATAATGTGATAAGGGGTGGGCTGGTGAGATCTCGGAATATGACTTAGATTGCTCTCCATTGAAATGCAAAGATGGAACCAAGCAATGGATCAAAGGAAGACAGAGAGCTGTAATTTTGGCTAAGTGAGGAAGCTGTTTTGAGCTACTTACTTTGAAGCCATAGTCGACCCACTTGAGGGATATTCGAGGGCAGCTGCGAGTTGGAATTGGAAGCCTAAGACTTACTGAAGAACATATTGGAGTCGGATGAGCTCGAGTGTATACCTGGAATCCTTCGAACAAAGAGCTCAAAGTAGCTATGGAGGCTTGCTTACATGATTGCTTGCGCAGGAGGGCAACTTGTTGTGGAAGTCTGTTTATGTCGAGTTTTCTTTCCTTTTGCACATTGGATTCTTTTTCATTTTCGAGTAGTTTAGTTAGATTGTGGTTCTTTGTTCGTAGAGTAGTCTAATTGGGTTAGATTTTGTTCTATTTAAAGCCAAAAACACGAGTGTAATTGATTGTTGTTAGATGAGTGGAAAAGTTACCTTGTCACCAAGTTTCTTCCTGTTCTCGTGTTGGTTGGGACTCAACAGAGAATTATGTTTCTTATCGATTGAATAGTCCCTTCAATTATGGCTGAATTCCGGCGTGATATCGATCGAGCCTCTTCCTAACTGACAAGTTGGTCGACAATCCTTCCATCCTAACGCCATACCCTGTTTTGTGCCAAGAACCCCCTTTTACCTCAATCAGTCCTTTGATTGATCTTTTGCGTGACTATGATAATCAAGACCTCGAGGTTAGGTAATATTATCGGCATCAATCGATTCGGTCCAGAACCAGGTTAAATTGAGATAGGACCGGACCAAACTCAAAGGAAAAATAAAAATCATACCAGATCATAAGCATGATTGGTTCATTTGGTTCGATCCAGATTCAATTTTGGTCCATTTTTTCATATTTAAAATATTTCATAGGACCAATATTGAATTGAAATATATTTGATTCCATCCAATTTGGTCCAAGTATCAATTTGGTACAATGTGAACCGGATTATTGTCCACCCTTAAACATGATGATTATGATCACATTTAAACATGATTTTAATTTGGCAAAATGGTTAGACTTGTTGCACATTTAAGAAATGTTGGACTAAATTTCCCAACACTTGACCTTTGCCAATGTTATAAAAAGTTGTCTAAACTACGTAAATAAACAAAATGATATTGTTTGCAATATAAGTATTGACTATATGATATAACCAAATAAAATACAAATTAATTGATAAATTATTTACAATATTTAAGTAACATAAAAAAAGATGTCATTGTCTATATTAAGCAACACTTTTTAGTGAGTGTTGCAACCATGGTGTTGCCAAAGACAATTTTAAGTAACACTAAAAGAAAGTGTCGTTGTCGTTGTTATTGTTATTATTATTATTATTTTATAAATGAAAGCAACGCGTTCTAACTTTCATTCACAACCAAGCGGGGTTCCGAAATCCCCTGAACGTCATACAAAATCCAATTACACAAGGAAGGATCAGTAATGGGGAACTCATGTAAACCAAAGGACATAGAATGGCCTCTACTGGCAATGTAATCAGCACAATAGTTCCCCTCCCTATAGATGTGAGAAATCACAACCTGCCAGTCTCTGCTCAAGAGTGCCTGGAAACGACGGAGCACCGCTGAGTGACGGTTAACGTCACCATCACGTCGAAGAAGAAGCTGAACCGCACACTTGGAGTCCATCTGAACCTGGATACGACGAAAACCCAAGTTCCAAGCCAACTAAAGCCCCTCAAATGCGCCTCTCAACTCAGCTCGGGTGATAGAGCAAATCTTGAGCTTAATCGCATACGCTGCCAGACAGCATCCTGAGTGATCTCGAATCAAGCCACCAACAGAGGCGTGGCCTGAAAAAGGGTGAAATGAGTCGTCGGAGTTGAGAGTGACCCACTCTGGAGGCGGCGACTGCAAAGAGATCAACGCCTCCATTCTCATGGGCGGAATCCCTCAAAGTCTTAATCCATGCCTGGATACGCAGTATAAATGCTTTAGGAGTTATGATCTTGCCTGCAAAGACACGATCATTTCTAGTCCTCCAAAGGGACCAACAAATAGCTCCAAAGTCGAGGCTGTTATGCGGTTCCTTTAGGTTGTGCTGAATCCAATCCTGTAGCTGCATTCCGAAAAAGCTATGGTATTCAGAAGGTTGAACGAGCTGCGCCCAAGTTAATCAGGAAAAAGAATAGTCCCGCAACACATGCAGGACTATTTCGAGCCCTTGATGACAATGAGTACAAGTTTTGAGGTTGCGATGTGCCACCTGGTCCATTTCGCGTTCATCAGGAGGCGCTCACGGCAGGCTAAACACAGGAAATGGGTAATCCTAGCCGGTCCTCGCCACCTCCACAACGTCCGCCAGTCCACCTGTCCATACTCCACCGTCTCGTCTGTGGCAATCTCATACATTGACCGGATGCGGAATTTGCCGTCCTGCTCAGGTCCCCAAGTGGCTCGATCTTCACCTGCATCCTCCTGCGGGGGTGGATCCCAAAAACCTGCATAAGCCCCTCTTCGGTCTGGACCTCCCGCAAAGCCAGAATATTCCACTCACCTTCCGCCGAGGCGAATGCTGCCACCGGAATATTTAGATTCTCAGGGGGGCTCTCTTCGCGGGCATAGTCAAGGAGCACGTCTACTATATCTACCCATTTGTCCGTCCAAAAGCTAGTTGCTTTCCCATCTTGAATACACATTCTCATTCCTCTCACCATGATTGGCCATGCCTTCATCATGCCGCGCCAGAGGGGTTAAGCACAAGCCATTGACTTCCTGGTCAGAACTCCCTGCACTGTTTTAAAATATTTAGCCTGCAACACTTTAACCCAATCTCGTCAGGATTAAGAGTAAAATTCCAGGCGAGTTTGGAGAGGAAAGCAAGGTTAAGCTCCCTAGCTCGACGAAGTCCCAATCCTCCCGCCGACTTCGGCTTGCATATCCCGTCCCAATGCACCAGGTGAGTTTTCCGAGAGTCCGCAGTGGAGCCCTAGATGAAGCTTCTAACCCTTTGGTTGATGGCATCATAGATGGACATCGGCAAGAAAGTCGTTTGCATCGCATAGGTGGGGAGAGAGCTAAGCACCGAGGCAGCTAGAGTGACCCTCCCGCAAGAGACAACGACTTTGCGCGCCAGCCAGCCAACTTCTTATCGATCATGTCTAAGATATACTTGTAAGTCTCTTTCGTCACTCTCCCATAAAAAACCGACACCCTGAGGTAGCGCCCCAAATCCTGAGTTGTCGAGATTCCCATGAGGGGAGAGATGTCCGCGCTGAAGGGGCGGTGCGTGTTAGGCGAGAAGAAGATGACGGAATTCTCCTTGCTAACCTGTTCTTCGATGCCTGACAGAAGCTCCCCAGGCAATCAAGGATAATCCGACCATGCGCCTTAGATTCTTCTGCAAACAGAATCAAATCGTCAGCAAAAAACAAATGGGAGAGTTTTGGGCCACGTGGGGTCGTACTAATGGGCCGCCATCTCTTTTCCTGCACCGCTGCCTCGATAGTATGGCTCATGAGCTCCATGCATAGAGTGAAGATGTACGGGGAAAGAGGGCAGCCCTGGCACAAGCCCCGGGACGGGGAGAAAGCCTCGGTCTGACAACCATTCCACAACACCTGCATGGACGGAGTCGTGATGCAATGCATGATCACGTCGATCAGCTTACCAACCTCGTCAGCTCCAATGTCTTCTGAACAAATCTCCAATCTATCCGGTCATACGCTTTAGCCAAATCAATTTTTTAACAATCATATGGCCCTTCTTTACTTTATTCATCATCATTGAGTGGACCATCTCTTGTACAATTATGATGTTGCTCGTGATATGCCTTCCCGGGACAAAGCTTGTCTGCATCGGGTGGACCAACTTAGCCATCAATGGTTTGATTATGTTCACAAGGCATTTTATCAGTGTCTTATACACCACATTTCACAGGCCAATGGGGGCGAAAGTCTCTTATCATAGTCGGGCTCTCCTTCTTCAGGATAAGTACCAGCAATGTCTCATTAACCGCCTTAATCCCAAAAGGGGTAGCAAAACAGTCACGAATAAACTCACAGAACGCGGTCACAACCGTTTCCCAGTTGCGTTGATAAAACAGCGATGGATACGCATCCTTGCCCGAAGTTTTGAAGCTGCCCATACTCTTCAAGGCTGCCACAATCTCCTCTCGCAAAAGCTCACGTCCCAGCCCTGCAAAGAGATGCTTGCAATCTAGAGCGTGCCACACTTTGCCCACAAGTTCTCAAGGCGATGGGATACCACCAGGAAAGGAAAGGTCTTCTCCACCGGCCTTCTCCACCACAGCTTCTCAGATGCCCGAAATGAGATTGTCGGGCATCGGGGGTCATCATCCTCAGTAACATCATCATCCATATCGTCCTCTCGCATTGCCTCAGCAACGTCCTCAGAGTCAGATTCACCAACATAGTAGTCCTCATGCAGCAAAGCCTCACAAAATAGGCTTCTCCCTGCCCCGCCCCATATAGTTTGGGAGTTAGCACGTTGGTGTGGAGACGGAGCCTCGCTCGACGCCCAAACCTCCCCCGCTGAAGGGTCGTGGCTCACGTCGGCATCCATCTCCGCTTGCTCGAAAAGAGGGTTCGCGTGCATTGGCTTAGCACACTTCTTGGCTTATTGGGTCTCTTTCTCCCCCTTCCCGGTTGGAGAAGAGGTTATGGGGGAAGGACGACGGACGCCCGAGGACAGGTCCGGTGGCTTTGCCGCCGGGAGAACAGACCCCGACGTTGCGGACATGGTGATGAAGGTAACGGAGAAACTACTCTAGTCTGCGGGGATTCCGATAATCACGGAGCACCTAGGTCTTTTTTGATACACCTAAGCCATGGATCTAGAAAGTGTCGTTATTATATACTTTAAGTTAAAATTTTAATTAGTGTTGCAGACATGGTGTTGCGAAAGGCTTGTTTCCCATAGTGACAGCTGGGAAGTGAGGTGACCACATGCGTAGAGGTTTAGGGTTTCTCACAAAGTAAACTTTGTTATGGTATTAGAGCCTGGTTGCTCAACCTAGGTTCCCACCGCTAGTGTAACCATGGCAGATCCCAGCACCAACAATCAAGCACAACTACAAGTGCAAGAAGACAATGACGAAAACATTCAAGCTAACAACCAGAATGCACATCAGCAGACTTACCAGATGGAGGATCCCTACTTTCTTCAGGAATGTGACCTGCCAAGTATTCTCTTAGTTGTAGAGAAACTCAACACTACAAACTATAATGACTGGAGCATAGCAATGTACAGTGCTCTTGTTGCTAATAACAAGCTAGGGTTTGTTAGTGGGGTTCTGGTTGAACCAGATCCAACATATCCGAAGCATGGATCTTGGATCCGAAACAATGTGATGATTCTTAGTTGGATCTAGCAAGCAGTTGATACAGAGATAAGGAAAACTATTCTCTCATGTAAGATTGTGAAGCTTATAAGAGCCTACAGTCTAGATATGGAGCATGAGATATCACTAGGATTGTAGAGCTTGAGGGATCACTTTCTAACCTTAAGCAAGGAAACTGGATTATTACAGAGTACTATGGTAGAGTGATCACTCTCGGAGACCAACTAGAGAACTATCAACCTCTCATTCCATGTGATTGTACTCTTGTCAGCCATATCACTTGCAGGACAATGAAAAAGGTTCGGGAATACCAGGATTAGGGATGGCAATTTTGCCCATACCCATGGGTATTTTACTATCCATACCCATTTAGATAATATCCATATATGGATATGGGTAAAGTTTGATGGGTTTGTACCCATACCCATTTACTTTGGGTTGGGTTGGGTTTATAACAAATGGATTTGGGTTTGTACCCACTCCAAATACAAATTACAGTTTGGTACCTAAACTTAATAGATATGCATATTTAGTACCTAAATTTAATTTTTTTGCATATAAGTCCTCAAAATATGGATGGAAAATTACGTTTTGGTACCTAAATTTTTTTGGTCTTACATTTTGGTACCTATACTTTTCAAGTTTTATAAATAGGTCCAATTTTTGCATGTGTAGTTAAAACACCCTCAAGTAAATGGATATCCATATCCAACCCATACCCATTTAGATAATATCCATATCCAACCCAAACCCATACACACATCATCCAAACCCTACCCATAATAAATGGGTCTACTTGGGTTTGGGCAAAATTACCCATGGGTGGGTAAATTGCCATCCCTAACCAGGATACTAGTTACATTATCAAGTTTCTTCAAGGCCTAAATGAAAAACTTTCCCTTGTAGGGTCTCAAGTTTTTTTTTTTTGGAGATGAGTTGCCCAATATCAACAAGATTTTTCAAAGGACATTGCAACACGAAAGGCAAATGTATGGAACTCAAAAGGGCAAGATGATTTTCGATGTTGTTGTTGAGTCACCAGTGCCAGCTGCTCAAGGAGGAAACAGAAGACCAAATCCCACTAAGAAGAGGCCTTCCTGTACCTACTACAAGAAAGAGGGACACATGAAAGAGGTCTGCTATCAAAAGCATGGATGGCTACCTGGGATAGACTAAAGGAGCACAGGAACTCAAGCAAGGGTCTGGAGTGCACTTATTCCAGAAGGCAATGTTATATAGAGGAAAGGTGTTTCTTCAAACATGGTTTTCCTCCCAACAACAATACAAGATCTGGTGCAAGGCAAGGAGGAGGAAGAGGTTATGCTAA